ATTTGTTTTCCCTTATGTCCCGTATTTGGTTTCAACCATACCTATACAATTATTTTATTGACAATTATAATCAATATTGACTATATTATCTTGAATTTGTAAACTTAGAATTACCTATTTAACTCGCACGAGCTTAGCTCAATGGTTTAGTGGGTAGTATTTGGGAGAAGAGACCAAGGTTTGAACCTCGGCGCGGGCAATGCGGGAATTATGTCCAAAGTGGGCAGATTCCTTGTGCGTACCAGCATTTGGCCCTGTCTGCTAAACCATTGAGTCACTGTGATTTACAACTTCCCACAATGCTCTGTCGGGTCGGAGTGTGGGGGGGGGCCCTTGGGGTTGGGGACTCAACCTTTGGGAGAAGAATTACCTATTTAAATACGCAAATTCAACCTTCAATTATCTATGCATGAACAATTTCAATATAATCTTGCCTCAATATACTTTAAAGTACTTATTTAAAAAAAAAACATTGGGCATTATCCCAATCGCGCAATGCGCGTAAAAAACTAGTATATATATATATATATATATATATATATATATATATATATATATATATATATATATATATATATATATGGTGTAAAACTTTAAGAATGGGAATAGATTAGGATTATGGGAAATATTAGGCGCAATATAATATATAATAATATAGGGCTCATAATAATATGAATTTAAGATGATATTAGGTTAGACTTGGAATTTAAAGAATTAAAATAAAATTGAGTAACAAGGATAGGAGAATTTAATAAAACTAATAGTGCCCAGAAAATATGGGGTATCACACTTTGATACCAAATTGAAGCATGTGCTCCATCTCAACTAAAAGCCTAAGCTAATAGTTAGATTGCACATTAATGGTTATATGCTCAACATTCTTAACCTGTATTATTCCTGGACCGAAAAACCCAAAGGCCAATATTGATGTCTATGTCCAGCCTTTAATTGATGAACTTCAATTGTTATGGAAACATGTGTCTTAACTTATGATGCATCACTTAAACAAAATTTTATGATGCGCGCTGCGTTAATGTGGACCATTATGACTTTCCTGCATACGGTATGTTATCTGGATGGCAGACAGCCGGGAAACTAGCATGTCCTTATTGTCTTTATTATTCTAAATCATTTTATTTGAAGAATGGTCATAAAACATGTTGGTTTGATTGTCACCGTCAATTCCTTCCAATGAATCACTCCTGGAGGAAGAATCGAGATACCTTCGTCAAACAATGAGCTGAGAAATCAAGATCTCAACCAATTTGGACAGGAGATGATTTGTTTAATAGTTTGGAAAATATCCCAAGGATTATTGATGGTCCAATTGATCGCATTGAGGGTTTGGACAAGCACACAATTGGAAAAAAAGAGATCATATTTTGAGATTTGCCTTATTGGAAGGATAATTTGTTACGTCACAATCTTGATGTGATGCATATAGAGAAAAATGTGTTTGATAACATTTTCCACACGGTTATGGATGTCAAAGGCACAGATAAAAATAAAGACACGCCTAATGCACGTCTCAATATGAAGGATGTGTGTAATAGGCCCGAACTTGAGTTGGTGGAAAAGAATGGATGTTATCTTATGCTCAAGGCAAGCTACAGTTTGAATCATACTAATCAATTAGCTGTCTGATTGTTTTAACAATGTGTAAGTTAGAACGGTTTTTCCCTCCAGCACTGTTTGATTGCATGGAACACTTGCCTGTCCATCTTCCCTATGAAGCACGTCTAGGTGGCCTAGTAAAATATCGTTGGATGTACCCATTTGAACGCTTCCTCAATCACTTGAAGTCCAAAATGAAAAATAAGAGATATTTTGAAGGTTCAATTGCTGATGCATATATGCTTGAAGAGGCAACACACTTTGAATCATTTTGTTTTGAAGATGATGTGTAGAGTAGAAGAACAAGGATATGTCAGAACCTAAATGATGGCGGCATTGATCAGAACTTGCCAGTTACTTTGTCAATATTCAATCGACTTGGTCGGTCGATGGGCAAGAGAAAGACAAGATATTTGAGTGTAGAAGAACATTTCGCCGCTCATCAATATGTGTTACTGAATTGTGAGGAGGTTCAACCGATTCTAAGGTATGTGTGCTCCACTTTTTCCCATTTTGATTTCAAATGTATATATATATATATATATATATATATATATATATATATATATATATATATATATATATATATATTGGTTCCTGTGAGGTCAGGTCTTCCCATGCGGTCAGTGCGGCATACACCATTAGGTATGCATAAATGCACCATACAGGGTTCGAAAATACACCAAAATGAAATGTCAAAAAATACACCACACAAACAAAAAATGCACCACACATAAGAGTGTATTTACAAACACTGTGTGGTGCATTTATGTATACCTAATGGTGTATGCCGCACTGACCGCACGGGAAGACCTGTCCTCACAGGAACCTGACCCTATATATATATATCTAGAAACATAATAAGTGTGAATGAAAGTTATACCCCTGATTTATGTCCGTTTTTTTCCGTTAAATTTTTTTGTACATTATGCTATTAAGGTTGTACATTGAAATATTTTGGACAAACATACCCTTACCGTTATAACTTCCGTTATCTTTTCCACTATTGTTACCATGCACATGCATCCACCATATATTTTCTTATCTTCTTCATTAATAATAATATATACACATTAAATATTTGAGTTATATGTTAATTATTACATAAATATAAATATCAATTTTATAAAAATGATTTACATTATTATTATTATTATTATTATTATTATTATTATTATTATTTAGAATAATTTAAATATCTAAAATCTAAATAAATTTAAAATTGTAATATAATGTATTAATATTGGGCACCTATTTTTTGCGCATCGCGCATAAAAAATACTAGTGTATATATATATATATATATATATATATATATATATATATATATATATATATATATCTAATATCAGTATTGTAGGATGTATGAAAATGGTTTACGACGTTACAATCCTGGTTGTACTGATGAAGATGTAGACAATGAAGTTGAAAGAAATTTTGCACATTGGTTTAAAGAATATGTAAGAAGTTAATGCACTTTGTCATTTTTGATTCATTATTATCTATCTTTTTTGTTATATGACATTTTCTTTGTATTTATTATTAGGTATATTGCCCAACGAACAATGTGTGTAACCAATCACTCATTGATTTGGCATCTGGGCCGATAATGGAGGTTGACACATACACTGGGTATGTCGTTAATAGTTTCAAGTTTCAGACGGAAGAATATTGCCGTAGAAAGTCGACTTGTAACTACGGAGTGTCAATCAAGGGAACAGGTTTAACACAATTTGAATCAAATTTTTTTGGCAAATTGCAAGAGGTTGTTGAGGTTGAGTACCCCAATGTTCCAATAAAAAAGGTTGTTCTCTTTAAGTGTGAGTGGTTTGACCCAACACCAAATATTGGGTCAATATTCAATTCTGAATATGGTATCGCTGAAGTGTGATCCTTTTATCATTGCACAAAGCGCATGTCAAGTGTGTTATATTCCATACCCACGAGGTATACGAGAGAAAATGAATTGGTGGGTAGTCTTGAATGTACGCCCAAGAGGAACTATTGACAGTGCCTATATCTCTAGTTACACATATCAACAAGATAACATATCGTTGCCTACATATGGGGGTGATCAAAGAATTCAAGATGGCGCGCAAGAGTTAGTGCACGAACCATTACAAATTAATGAAGTGGAATTACCTCACATCAGAAATCAATGGTCCTCCCAAGGTGTCCAAATTGAAGATTCAGAAGAAGAAGATACTGAAGAAGTTGAAGAAGAGGACAATGATGATTCTGTAGAAGATGATAGTGGAGATATTGGTGATGAAGATGATAATGAGGAATCAGAGAATGATGAGGGTGATATTTAATTTAGAGTTGAAATTTAAATAATTTTAATGTTTATTTTAATTTTAATTAGTGTTTAAGAAAAATTTAATTAATGCTAAAAAAAATAAAGAATTTACCCCAAAACATTAAAAAAAAAAAAAAAAAAAAAAAAAAAGTGGCGCAAATCTGAAAATTTGGTCCCAAAATTTCACTAAGTTCTCTCTCCCTCCACTACTTGAATTTCCCTCTCCATCCACTACTTCACTTCTCCATCCTTCTCTCTCCCACTTCACATATCCTTCACGGCCTACTTCCTCCTTCACGCCTCCGGCACCGGCAGTGGCACAATAATGGCAGTCCCTAATCTCGTATTCTGAAACCCCAGGTACTTTCTAATCCTTTCAACGTTTGAGTAACCCAGTCCCTAATCGAATTTAGGTTTTTTTTTTTAATGGATTCTAAAATATTCTATTTCTTGTTCGAATTTAGGTCCTCATGTTCTTGGTGTTGTTGCTGTTTATCAAGCTTCCATTGGACCATCCCTAAATGACTTGTCATGTGTCCTCACTCCTAGGGAAAACAATGCAGTACGTAGACTCAACAGGATTAACAGGCCCATAGTTCGGAACAATTTGTAAGTCTTATATTGATAACTATAATGTGTTAACATTTATCTCTAACATTTATAATTTGTTATAGATTTGAGCCATGGTGTGCGAATAAAATTATCGATTACGTAACTAAAATATTTCCAGATGCTATAAAATCATACAACGATGCTGCTACACATATGAAGGACGTATGGTTTAATGAATTCAGGGTAACTTATTTTATAACTGCCATTAGTAAATTACTGTATAACTACCATAGGGAACTACTAATATATACATTTAATAATTTATACCTTTACTAATTACTTTATACATTTACTAATTACAATTTGATTTTTTTTTTTAATCTTATCAAAGAAAAAGTATAAGTGGAATCCAGAAGATGAGGCAGTAATTCAGAGTATATTCCACAAAAAGGCTGCTAGAAGATTATCTGACACGTTGGGGTAGGTTCGCATCAATTTGGCAAGAGGCCATGCACCACCAAATTGGATGAATGATCAGGTTTTGGTCCAATACCGCAGCATTTGGAATACGGAGGAGTTTAAGAAGACTGCTGCGAAGAACAAAAGAAATAGAAATTCAGATTGCGGGGGATTGGGACCATCACTGCACACTGCAGGTTCAATCTCTATTTCTGAGCATAGGAGAAGATTAGTAAGTCATTTACTACTATTTAAATACAATTTATAGTTAAACAACAACATTAATATTTGGTTTATTGTTCTTTGATAGAAAGAAAAGCTTGGAGAAGAGTCCTCGCATGCAGTGTTGTTCCAAGCAACTCACAAACGCAAAAAGACAAATGAGTTTGTTTGCAAAAAGGCTGATCATGTAAATGTAAGATACTAAAACTTTTCCTAGAATTAAAAGTGTAGGCCTAGTAAAGAAGTTTTACTTGTTTTAAAAAGTATACTCCATAGTATACTTGTGCCAACATCCAAATATAGTATTAAGAATACCCCCTATCCTGATATTTAGAATGCAGATTATATTAGAGCAGAAACTATACGAACTTGAGAACTAATTAAAAGTATGGTTAGTTTAGACATGTTAGGGGATTAATTACAATGAAAATATATATGAATGACTAGTTATGAAAGTATGGAATCTTGCTGCTAATTATGTGTTCTGTTTTATGTTAAATTATATGAATGTTAATGTGGTTATTTGATTGGTTTGCCATTACATGAAATCAATTTAAACTTAAGCCTATCTGTTATTAGATTGTGTCATCTGCCAATTTTCCGGTCCATAGACCACTGTATCAGGGGCTTACTAAACCAGCTTATACTAGATTGCTTGTCAAAAATCTTGTGATCTACATGTTGACTTCATGATGAAAATGATCTCTTTATCCTGTTAGGGAAGAAAATGTTTGACATTGAATCTCTTATAAGATTCTCTATATGTATAAGCCTTGATACATCTAACTCTTGCTTCCTTTGTAAACTTGTATTGCTTTTCATTCCTTTCTGTGGGAGAAGTCTCGCTACATACTAGCTAAAACTTTTACTGTGTGCAAACCTTTACTGTATTGAATCTTTTTATTTATAATGAAGAAAAGATATTGAGTTACTGCCTTCAACTACTTCAAGAGTCTTACTGCCTTGAGAGTCTTATTGAGTCTTGCTACACTGTGTTGGTAATTGTTTGAGGAATTTCTAGGAAAATGATTGTCATAACATTTATTAGATTTTGAGATGATAAAATGATTGTATTTGGTAAAAATTCTTAAATATAGGAGGCTGCAATTCAAAAACAACAAACTCAACCTGAGCTTGGAGAGTCAAATGCATGGTTCGTGGCAGCCGGTGGCCTCAAGAAAAGAGGATCTGTTTATGGATTTGGATCAGATACACCACGCTACTTCTTTGAGGCTGTGACGCAAAAGAATTCAAAATCCGGACAATCATTGGCACATGCAGTTTATGAGGATCAAATTAAGGAACTAAATGAAGAGAAGAAGCAAATGAAGGAAAAATTGGCATGGTTGGAAGCGGAATTTGTTGCAATTCGTGGTGCAAATCATCCTTGTTTTCAGTCTACTAATCCAGCCGTTAGCCGTGAAAGTAGTGGTGTTGGGTTAGATGATCTTGAGCAATATATCCAAGATTCTAACTTTTTTTTTGGTGATGGGTTAGATGATCTTGAGCAATAGATCCAAGATTCTAACTTTTTTTGTGATGGGTTAGATGATCTTGAGCAATAGATCCAAGATTCTAACTTTTTTGTGATTTAGGAAATATTTTGATTGTATTAGAATTTTGAATGATGGTGGATATTAGAATTGCAATATTATGTATAATTAAATTTGCTATTGAAATGTATAATATTTGTGTTAGGAAATTACTAGTTTTAAAATTGGTAAAGCAGTGTATAATTTGTACGAAAAGTAGCAATAGAAACTGTAAATTACAAAAAAAAAAAAAAATATTTATTTATTAATTTCCGACCACCAGGGGTCGGAAATCTGGAACAAACGAATTGGATCTAGATTTCCGACCGCCCGATCGTCGGACTTTCCGACCACATAGTGGTCGGAAATATGGATCCAAGAATGGTCTTGCCCCAGATCCGACCCCGTGTGGTTGTACTTACCGACGACCAGGTGGTCGGAAATATGGATCCGTCCAAGTATCAAACTCGTCGTTTGTTTCTGACGATTATAAAAATGTGCTCGCTATTTCCGACCACTCTATCTGGTGGTCGGAATTAGCAACGGGCCTTTTCCGGATCCCCATTTTGGTCAGAAAAGTGGTCGGAAATCGTGTTTTCGACCCAATTTATGCTGTTTCCGACCACTTTTGGGTGGTCGGAAATCTGTTGATTTCCCGCAGTGGAGCGTTGTCTGTCAATGAATACTACACAAAATACAGAGCATTATGGGAAGAGATGAACACATTGAGGCCGATTCCCCTATTTAAGTGCAATCCAAGATGTTCTTGTGACTTAGTTGATGAAATCAGAAAGGAGATGGATACGGATCAGGTAATCCGATTCTTGCAAGGCTTAAATAAGGATTACAACAACTTAAAATCGAACATAATTGTCTTGGATCCCTTGCCAGAAGTGTATAAAGTCTTTGTGATGGCTGATTAATCTAACCAACTCGAGTTTGGGAGGCCAGGAGATCAATCATTCAAATGCAGTGCAAGGGTCCATGAACGATGAAAACATCTCAGCTGCTTTGAACACCTACAATGGCAGACAACCTAATGTAGTGAAGGAAAAATGCACTTATTGTGGCATGTCTGGACATACGGTGGACAAATGCTATAAGAAGCACGGTTACCCTCTCGGGTGGGTGCCTGGCTACAAGTCAAAAGGAAAGCAACAAGCCACCACCACAACTATGAACAATTCAATGGACCTGGGAATCACTACTAAGCAGCTGCACATGCAAGATCCTTTCTCTTATTCAAACTCAGACAAGCCAATCCTCCTCTGCACCTTCTTGTTCCAACACTGTTGCGGTAGTCTCGCTCCTTTATCCCCAAATTTGATGAACACACCATTGATGAAGGCACGTATTCTAGACCCTTTGTTAACTCCCTCTCATTACGCTCCTCCACCTGGATTCTTGACTCAGGAGCTACTAATCACATTACATGCTCTATAAATTTTTTTACTAATTAATTACCAATCTGCTGATGTGTTGAGGTAAATATAATAAAATTGACGATTCTAATATTTTTCAATTCAAATTGCATTTTTGGCTGATCAAAATCTTATACAAATATTCCTAACAATAATATAAATAGAATATCAAAATAAACATAATTATTAAAACACGCAATTTATCAAAGTTTTATAATATTAAAATAAAGAGATTACAATTACTAAATGTAAACATTAGCATAAAAATAAAATTAAATTTAGGAAAGCAAATAAAAAAAATATAAAGTTAGTACAAAAAGTAAATTAAAACCTAAATACAATATGATAGAATTTAAAAAAAAAATTAGCAGAAATATTTAAATTAAAATTTAAACATAATTTAAATAGAACGTAACATCAACATTGCATAATATTGATGTGGAATACTGGAAGGCATTGGAATTATGTACAACTGATGTATAGGACATATAATATTATTAATCGTTGGAAGAAAGAATGAGCTTTTCTTGATTTCCACAGCCTAAAATTTGTTAAAGGAGTACATGTTGTTCAACTTATTCCTAATGTCATCTTGTCAGCTTGTCAATAACATTTAGTAAAAAAACAGAACAGTTGACTGTGGAAGTTAAGTGACCCCACTAAGTATATATTATATAACAAAAATCGTGTCAATTTTTACGGCCAGTGGTGGAATTAGTGTTGTAATATGATTTTTTTTTTTTTTATATAAAAATTTTAAATTTGTATCATATTGACCCTTAGTTTATATTTGAAATATCAATAAACTAGGTATTCTGATTAATCTCATTAAATTTGACAAGAAACTAAATTATTTTCCTCAATAATTGTTAAGTAGTGAAATGTACATTATCATGTTTGAATTTTGTATTTATTTTTTTTTTTTTTGAAAAAAAGAAAGGGACCCCACTTATATTAAAGAGGCCCGACAACAAGTTTTGAATATAAAAAAGAATAGAAGAAAATCAGATAGATGGATCAGGCTGATTATTTATCGTCCTCGCTAAGGAATTGACTAGCAAATTCACTGATCTATGCATAAAGTAAAAGGTTAGGAGCTGGCTTATTAAGAAACTAACAGTTATACAATCTATTTCCACACTAACATGCCATCAATGCAACTAAATTATCATGTTTGATAAATAAAGTAATTTTTTTCTTGAAATTTTAGTTTTTAATAAAGAGTAATTTTCAATTTTAGTCATTAACTATATTGTGGCATTGTCACCTTTAATCATGTTCTTTTAATTTTGTCACATTATTATAATCTTGACTTTCATTTACTTACCATAATTAATTATTTTTAAAAAATAATAATAAATAAAATTATAAATAAACTATTTTTCTGAAATAATGATATTCTACCTAAAGAGTTTATTAGAATATATATATATATTCTCCCTAAAAACAATATATTAGAGAAAATTTCAATTTTGGTCACATGACTATAGGGACATTGTTAATTTTAGCACCTGACTTTCAAAAGTGTTAATTTAGTACCTTGACTATGTATTTTTTGTCAATTTTGATCACTCTGGCCGAATTAACGGTCAAATTTGGCCGAAAAAATTTAATCAAACATTTAGTCTATAATCTGAGGGGCAAAATCGTCTTTTGATCCTTTCTAGACTAAATGTTGGATTAAATTTTTTCGCCTAAATTTGACCGTCAATTTGACCAGAGTGATCAAAATTGACAAAAATTACATAGTCAAGGTACTAAATTGACACTTTTAAAAGTCAGGCGTTAAAATTAACAATGCCCCTATAGTAATGTGACCAAAATTGAAATTTTCTCCAATATATTATATTGAAAAGCACAATGACAGCATGAAGTTAATAGTCATGATATGTGGATTGATGACTTCTAGATTTTAGTGGTAGTTTGAGCTTTTCTTGAAAAGTTAAGTGCATACATCATTCAAGTTGGAAGTGTCAATCTTTGGCCTGAGTATAATATTATTGATCTTTGGAAGAAAGAATGAGCTTTCCTTGATTTCCACAGCCTAAAAATTCTTATATTACAAGAGTTTCAACTTATTCCTTGTGTCATCTTGTTAGATTATTGTCAATAACATTTAGTAAACAAAACAGGACTGTGACTATGGAACTTAAGTGGCCCCACTGAATGAATATTGTATAACCAAACGGTCCAAACTCATGATCATGTCTATTTCTCCATGCATCGATCATGTTCTACACAACTATGTGGACCATACTATCAAAATATTAAATAATGTATATTCAGTATATAAATAATATATTTTTAATATATTAAAAATGTACATTATATTAAGAGAAAGTATATTATTTAAATACTGAAAATACATTATTTTGTATAATGTACATTCAATACATGAATAATGTATTTGTTATTATGGTCCACACAACACTGTATAGATCATTGTCCATACAATAATTTGCCTCCATGCACGTGGCCGGTAGAATTAGTGTTATAATATGATTTTTTTTGAAAAGAATTTGTGCCATATCGACCCTTAATTCACACTTGAAAAAAATAATAAATTTATGTATTCTTACTAATCTCATCAAAATTTGACAAAAGAATTTAAATTCGTTTCCACAATAATTCTTAAGTAGTGAAATGTAAATTGTCATATTTGTAAATTCACTTTTAGTGCAAATTATGCCATGGAATCGTGTTCACCGAGAATGGTGAACACAAGGCAAAACGACGTCGTTTTTAGACAAAAAAAAAAAAATTTCGCGGATGTGGAGTTAACGGCACGCGTTTGATCAAATTATGAATTTTCTGTTATGAGATTATGAATTTTATGAAAATTCATAATCTCATAACAGAAAATTCATAATCGCATAACAGAAAATTCATAATCTCACAACTGAAAATTCATAATCTCATAACAGAAAATTCATAATCTTATAACAGAAAATTCATAATCTCATGGTTCCAAAGTGAATGTGTAGGCATGGTTCCAAAGTGAATGTGCAGGCATGGATTCATAATTTATGAATGTCCGTGATTTCGGACGGGAATATATAGGCATGGTTCCAAAGTGAATGTGCAGGCATGAATTCATAATTTATGAATGTCCGAAATTATGAATGTAATGAAAATTCATAATCTCATAACAGAAAATTCATAATCGCATAACAGAAAATTCATAATCGCATAACAGAAAATTCATAATCTCATAACTGAAAATTCATAATCTCATAACAGAAAATTCATAATCTTATAACAGAAAATTCATAATCTCATGGTTCCAAAGTGAATGTGTAGGCATGGTTCCAAAGTGAATGTGCAGGCATGGATTCATAATTTATGAATGTCCGTGATTTCGGACGGGAATGTGTAAGCATGGTTCCAAAGTGAATGTGCAGGCATGAATTCATAATTTATGAATGTCCGAAATCTTTGTTCACCTTAAATTAAAGTGAAACCGCAAAATGTGAAAATAAAGAAGAAAAATCACGCAATTAATTAAGAAAAAAAAAAAAAAGATAACGGTGTACTAACACCGTTTGAACCCGGTTCCATGGCATAACGTCTGCACTTTTAGTCCTTGGACTAAATTGTAGAATTGTCGCATTTAGTCGAGGTTTTTAATTTTGTTACATTACAACTTTGACTTTCATTTGCTTGCCATAATTAGTTATTTTTTAAAATATTGTTATTTTGCCATTTAATATGTAATGATTTCAATTAAAAGATTTTACAACAGAGCATGATAAATTGTATGTTGGGGCAAGAGCTTTGATTGATAAAATTACATGTTAACCATCTTTATTAACCAATTAAATGAATAAAATTTTAAGCAATGACTAATTATGACAATTATATAAAAGTCAATGATGTAATGTGATAAAATTAAAACAATAAACTAACTATAACACTGTCAGAATAGTCAATAACTAAAAGTGAAATTTACTCATTTCTAAAATATAAAATTTTATTTCAAATCTTTTGGGTACTTAGATTTTATAAATTCACTATGAATTCCTTATATTTTTCACCAACCAAAAAATAGAATATAATGTTATTCCTTTATTTCTTTTCTATAGAATTTAACCATTCATTGTATATATTTTTTCAGAAACTAATTTTCTTATAAAGTAATTATTGTGAATATATTTATTGGGAATAACTTTATTTAGAAAATTAATTATCATATTTAGTGTTATCCTATAAACATAAGAAAGTACACAATATGTGTGTGTGTGTGTGTATATATATATATATATATATATATATATATATATATATATATATATATATATATAATTAGGTTTTAGTGCGGGTGGCAGCCCCCAGGTGTGGTTGTGCAGGGAGAGGAAAGCCATTGATTTGTTTAAATCAACGTCCAGGATTACCGAAATTTTAAAAAAAAAAAAAAAACATGGTGACAATTTGGTATTTTTTGCAACTAGGTCAAATTTAAGGTGTGTGAGTTTTGTGCTTAAGGTGCGTGTGTTTGTGCTTAATGTGAGTAGTTGTTGAAACTTAAGGTGCATAGGTTTTGTGCTTATGGTGCGTGAGTTTGTGCTTAAGGTGCATTATGTTTCTTCTTTGCGCACCATTCTCTGTGAGTCACGGGTAGTTCAGACCCTCAAGAAGAACAATAAATTTGAACTGAGGGGTGGTTCAGACTAGGGGTGTAAACGAGCAGAGCTGAGCTCGAACCTGGATAGGCTCGTGCTCGAGCTCGTTAATGGAGGCTTGGCTCGAATTCGAGCTCGAGCTTGAGAACTGATGCTCGAGCTCGAGCTCGGTAATTTTTGGACTACTCGAGCTCGGCTCGAGCAGGTCGCTTGTTCGAGTTCGAACTCGAGTTCAATCTTGAGCTCGAGTTCGAGCTCGATTTTGATTTTGAATTTGACCTATTTAAAACTTTTGATTTAAAATTCAAACTACTTTGTTTTATTCATACATAAATAATAGAAATCTTTTAGGGCTATTGAATTTAAAATTTTAATTTCTAATTGTTATTTTTATATATTATTATTATATTATATTATGTATTATATGGCTCGCGAGCGACTAGGCGAGCCACGAGCCTAGAATATCTAGGCTCGGCTCGACCTCGATTACTAAACGAGTCGTTCGAGCTCGGCTCGAGCTCGATTTTGACCGAGCTCGAGCCGAGCTTTGACCGAGCCGCTCGCAAGCGGCTCACGAGCTGCTCGGCTCATTTACTCCCCTAGTTCAGACCCTTAAGAAGAACAAAACTTTTGAACTGAGGGGTGGTTCATGTTGAGCATATAACCATTAATGCGCAATCCAAACTATCAGCTTAAGCTTTTAGTTGAGATGGAGCACATGCTTCAATTTGGTATCAGAGCCAGACTAAAGGTCATGGGTTCGAATCTCTACGTCACCCTATAAACGACTACGGTCCACGTGTTACTTGGAACCCACCGCACACATGAGGGGGCGTGTTGAGCAATCCAAACTATTAGCTTAGGCTTTTAGTTGAGATGAAGCACATGCTTCCCCTCAATAAAAACAAAACTTTTGAACTGAGGAGTGGTTCATACTCTCAAGAACAAAATTTTTGAACAAAACTTAATGTGCGTCATTACTTAAGCTAGGTGCGTTGTTATAACACTTAAGGTGCGTTGTTCTAATACTTAAGGTGCGACATGTTTCTTCTTCGTGCACCATTCTCTGTGAGTCACGGGTAGTTCAGACCCTCAAGAAGAACAAAATTTTTGAACTGAGGGGTGGTTCAGACCCTCAAGAACAAACTTAATGTGCGTCATTTTAACACTTAAGGTGCGTTGTTATAACACTTAAGGTGCGTTGTTCTAATACTTAAAGTGCGTGTTTCTATCACTTAATGTGCATCATTTTTAGCTCCTTTCTTCGAGACACGCGTTTTTATTTTTTATTTTTTTATTTTATTTTCATTGATTTGAGCCGTCAACCGCACGGGAAGATTTTACCATACCTGAATTATCCTTCCCTATATATATATATATATATATATATATATATATATATATATATATATATATATATATATATATATATATATATATATAGGGTCAGGTTCCTGTGAGGTCAGGTCT